GGTGCAGGGTGTACTCTTAACCCCCTGCAATGGCCTGGCGGGATAGAAAAGCTTTCAGCAGGCCTGTAAAAGTTGGCACAGAAGGATGCCTGCTGAATCTCCAGTGGCAGAGAGTTCCAAGGGACTGGGCCTATAGCAGAAACGTCTCAGCTTCTCATTGTTGTCAGACGAGCCTCACCAACTCAGGCAATGACTAAGGAGGCTCCTGCAGGTGATTTCAGTGACTGAGCTGGGATATTAATATTGTTTTTAAAATTTGTATACTGCCGGTCAGTCCCCAGGGCTGTCTTGGGCCAGCTGGCAGGGGGGAAGAGACCTTATGGGGAAGTATATTCAGGTCTGCTGCTGTTAAACTTTCAAACTTTGCTTTATTGGGCTGGAGAGATACCTAGAGGCCGAACGCGACTCCTGCCCCCCCTACAAGCCAAAGGTTCTCCCTCCTGGACTGATTAATGAGCGCCCCCCCTCAAATTAGTGTTGTGTGCTTGGCTAATGTGTCCTTTTTAAAAAGCTGGGGATTTTCACCCCCTGGTAACGATGTGGGAAATCTCACAGTAGCCAGCAAGCTGGGCCACCTGCGCTGGAGAGATGGGGCTGAGACCCAGGGGGGCTTGTCTTGCCGCAGGAGGGGGGCCAGGCCTGCCCGCACCCCACCCCACCTTGGAGGAAGGAAGGGGGAGAGCCTGCCCCCCTTCATTCTCCTCCTTTTGGAGAAGTTAGGGGAGGCAGAGGAGACCTTCAAGCAACAAGCCCCGCTTTTTATAAACAACAACCGCCCCCCCCCCAGCAAAGTGTCCAGGAGTGAAAAGCATTTCCTGGTGGTTCAGCCGAAAGAATAGGGGCGCATTAACATTCCAGGCACCTTGACAAGAGATGAAAGGGACCCCGAGGACCAAGGAAGCTGCCTCTCCTGGCTCCAGATGTTATGGTGATGGGACGCCTGAAAGGAGCTCTGTTTTGCTGCAGGAAGACAAAGATGCTCAGGCCACTTCAAAGGCTTCTAATTGATGCTAATGACTATTAGATGGAGCGGGGCCTTGTTCCCCATTGAGGAAAGGAGAAGAGAGCATTTTACAATCCCCGGCCCTGTACAAAGCCCTATTTGGCCCAGCTCCCCATTGCAGAGTTCCTCCTCCCCAAGAATGTCCCCCCCCCAATCCCAGATTTCGCCTTCGCCTCCCCCCAGCGAGGCACCCAGCTGGTAGCATCCACCTTCTTGGCCCATGAGAAATTTCACACCTAGCCTGCCCCCCCTTTCTCTCCCGGCCCCCCAGACTCCCCACGGAGAAGGGGCAGGGAACAGGTGCCCTCAACGGCCAGGAGGATAAAGATGTCCTCGCAGGGTGTGTGTTTGTTGAGGGGGGGGGGCGTTTTCCAGGGCATTTCCGCAGCCTCCCAGAACCTGCACCTTGTGACCTAGAAGAATCATTCTGGGAGACCGTTGGGATGTGGGGCACATCTCGGGTCAGGGCAAGGGTCCCTGGCACCCCTAAAATAAATATTGGGGCTCCAAGCCATCGCCTGAGGTTGCTTTTGCGGTTGGGGCACCTTTTGCATGGAAACTGGGTGTGTGAGAGGGATCAAGGGGGCCCAAAGTTCTGCTCCTTTAATTTACTTGTGCATTTTTCTAATCTATGGGTTGTGCTGAAGAAGATTCCAGCCAAACAGTCAGATTATCTGGGATCACTGTCCTATGTTGTTATTCACTTACTACTTCCGCACCTGAATGCCTAAAAAGTTTTACTGTTTAGCCCACAGGATAGCACCTATTACTTTGTTTCAGACTTATTATACTTCTACAGACTTTCAAAGATCGACAGACGTGTGTTCATTGATTTCAAATATCTTAGAGAATTTACAAGTGTACACATTTTGTTGTTGTTTTCGTTGTATAATTATTATGCAATAATAATTGCAGTGCTATCTAATATAGTGGTCACCGTGTTGCTTGAGTTGTTTGTTGTGTTAAGTTCGCAACACAGGGGTTTGTTGTTCTGTATTGATTGTAAAATGTGGCTTGCATGAAGTTGTATATAAATAAACAAAGAATAATAAATAACCCCACTCAATGTTACTGCTGTTTTCCAGGAACGCTGCAGAACGTGGGGTAAAATCCAGCACTTCTCTGGGTTGGTAGCAGCCTGGGGGGACCCTTACTGCATCTTCCCAGGGCAGGACCAAATGTCTGAGGTTTAATGGGCCTTACTCCCAGCTGAGTAGGTGCAGGATCCGGAGCCTTGGGTTCCTTTTAAGGGACAAAATGGTTCTGAACTTAAATACAGTACAGACAGCCCACTGTGTTTACAAAAAGGGGCATAAGACCAAATAACATAACACAACTCATTTGTTTGTCAGATTGCTCCATAACCATTAAAAACCCTCTTAGTTCCCTCGGTGGTTATGCTATTGGGGCAGAACACAGAAAAGTGGGAGAGGGTCTTTTGCTTAGGTATTGTTGTTGTTGTTTAGTGGTTTAGTCGTGTCCGCCTTTTTGTCACCCCCTGGACCAGAGCACGCCAGGCACTCCTGTCTTCCACTTCCTCCCTCATGCTGGTAGCTTCGAGAACACTGTCCCACCATCTCGTCCTCTGTCGTCCCCTTCTCCTTGTGCCCTCCATCTTTCCCAACATCAGGGTCTTTTCCAGGGAGTCTTCTCATGAGGTGGCCAAAGTCTTGGAGCCTCAGCTTCAGGATCTGTCCTTCCAGTGAGCACTCAGGGCTGATTTCCTTCAGAATAGATACGTTTGATCTTCTTGCAGTCCATGGGACTCTCAAGAGTCTCCTCCAGCACCAGAATTCAAAAGCATCCATTCTTTGGCGATCAGCCTTCTTGATGGTCCAGCTCTCACTTCCATACATCACTACTGGGGAAACCAGAGCTTTAACTATACGGACCTTTGTCGGCAAGGTGATGTCTCTGCTTTTTAAGATGCTGCCTAGGTTTGTCATTGTTTTTCTCCCAAGAAGCAGGCGTCTTTTAATTTCGCGGCTACTGCTAGGTTTTGTTACTGAGCGATTAAGAGAAAGACTGACCTCAAAAGCAAAAAAGAATGAAGAACCTCGCAGCCATTCCCACCAACTTCCTCTATCTTCCCAACAGCCTTGTGAGGTAGGATAGGGTGGGAGTCGGGTGACTGGCCCAAGGCTGGAGGGGAGCAAAACTACTTATGCATTGAGTTTTGAATGTGAAACTGCACAGTATTTTTGCAGCGCATGACAGCTTGTGCACTAATAAACCTGCGAGTATTTAAAATACTGCCCGTCTCATTTTGTGGTGCTGTTTTCCATGTGTTCCTTTTTGTGGGAATCAGGGGCCCTATTTGGGGAGCTGCGCCAGGCCCCCCCCCCTTAATCCAACCTCCATTCATTATCTTCCTGCAATCCCTTTTCCATTAGCTGACTCTTTAATAGGATCACTATGCAGATCTAAAACCTTGAAATTCTGCTGATAGGCCATTGATGCCTGCAATTCTCAAATGTTAAATGGCTAATTGGCAAACAGAGATCAGGTTTTTGTTTTCCCCTGATGCACTGCAAAGCTTTAGTTATATGTCTTAACAAGGTAGTGGAATGCTTCTTTGAGCATTTCAGTCCCTGGAGTAAATCACCCTAAAAACCAACCAGGTTATGAAACTTATTTCTGTGTGAACACACCAGCATTTAAAGCCGCAAGCCAGTGCACATTTTCCCGGGAGTAGGAAACTCCACTGAATGTAGAGGGACGTAAATCTGAATAACTAGATATAACATTGCACCATCTGCCTTGCAGTTCTGGGCACGTTTACTTGAGAGTAAGCCCTATTCAGCCTAGCCAGAGGCTTTAAAAAGGCTACATTGCCCTCAAGGAAAAATGTCCTGGCCCATTGTGGAAAACAAGCTGTCGGTGTTGACACCTTAATAACCATTTTTGTGACCTCAGTTGTTTTTGCTCAATTGTCTCCAATATTCCTAAGTTGCCAACAAGGACGTCACTGGGGTGGCAAAGAACAAAGAGGATGGCAAGAAATGTGGATATTTATTATTTATTTAATGTGTTGTACTGTCCATCATTCATAGATCTCAGGGAGGTCCACCTAAAATTACATTATAGAATACACAAAATGCATAATAAAAATAAGAACAAAAATAAAACAGTAACACCCCCAACAAGTCTGAATCACCTCTTAGCAGCCTCCAAACACCTACAGCAGGTGTCAAGGCAATAAACAACTATTTTACTTTTAAAAGACAACCGAAGGCGGCCCTCTTTAGGGAAGATTTTAATGTTTGATGCTGTATTGTTTTTAATATTCAGTTGGAAGCCGCCCAGAGTGGCTGGGGAAACCCAGCCAGATGGGTGGGGTATAAATAATAAATTATTATTATTATTATTATTATTATTATTATATTATTATTATTATTATTATTACTACTACTACTACTACTACTACTACACGTTGGGCCCTTACAAAATCCGGATTAGAGCGCAGCGCCTGCATGCTTTCCTTGTGATTCCTGCATTGCAAGGGGTTGGACTAGATGACCCTTAGAGCCCCCTCCCATCTCTGCAATTCCATGATTCTAGGAAAGGCAACCCGGGTGCCGGGTGCCAACCAGGTGGGTGCAGTTAGCACTCAAAGGCCGACTGTTCTGGTCCCGGCCCTTGTTCTGGGGGTGCCACGGGGGCGCAAGGCGCTTTACAGGGCAACTCCGGCAGCGCTTACTCGAAGTAGACCCATGGAAATGCATGCCGTGAGTGCAAGCTTTGCAACACGGGACGCGGCAGCCGCAACATCCAGACGACAGCTCTCCCTTCCTGACTCGCTTCAGCTCTGCCGCGCTCTGGGAGCTGGCGAAGATGAAGCAGGTCCCTGCCCCGCGGAGCCTACAGTCTAGCGGCTGCCCGTCCGGAAAAGGACGGGGCAGGCAGGGCCGCCGACGGGCTAGCCGCCCGGGACGGAGAGAGGGGGTCTGTGGGGAGTGTCGGGCTGCTGCCGGATTTGCGCGCCCGAGGCGTCTCCTCCGGCCGCGCCGTCGAGGAGAGGAAGCCAAGCCCGACGGCGCGGCAGGGAGCAGCCGAGGGGGAGTTTTCCTCGACGGCGCGGCCCCCGGAGGCTTCATCCCCGGCCCGGGCCACGCCCTCCGGGCTGGACGGGGCCGCCCTATAAAGCCCCCTTCGCCCGCGGCTGGGCCACCTCTCCGGCCCGCCCCGTCGCCAGCATGTTGCAGAGCCGGCCGCTGCCCTTCTCGGCGCTGGGCGAGCCGGCCGTCGAGGCCACCCGGGACCCGGCGCCTCCGCCGCGGAGCCGCTTCGACATCGAGTCGCTGCTGGCCAAGCCGGAGCCGCCCCGTCGGAGCGCGCCCGGGGCCAGCCTCTGGGCCACCGCCGCCTCCCCGGGCGCGCTGCGCTTCGGCTGCGCCCTCCGGTTCCTGCCGCTCCCCGCCGTCTGCTTGGGCGAGAGGACCCCCGCGCTGCTCCCGCTGCCGCCCCGCCAGTGCGCCCCGACCGGCTGCAGGAGGCCAGGTGAGAGCCGAGACGGGGACCCCGGGAGTGCGGGGCAGGCGTGCACGTGGGAACGGGCATGAGAGCGAGCATCTTGCGGGGGGCAGTGGGTGGGGTGTCGTCTCAGGACCGCGCTCAGGTGTAGACTGCCTCAGACTCGGGAGGCTCAACATTGAGCCGTCCTGCCTGTAGCCTCTGGGGGCTTATTGCGCAGCCGTCCCGACGAGGGATTTGGAGCGAGGTTAGAGGAGGCTGCGTGGAAGCAAGCGACCCTTCCCACTTCCCAGGGCAATTTCCCCTCTATTTCCTTGTGGCAAGAAAGGGGAAAAGTCCAGGTTTTTTGGAAAGGGGTTTCTGGCGCAGGTGTGGTCTAGGGCTTTGTGTCAGACTGGGACCTCGGACCTGGGAGACCAGGGTTCACTGCCCCACTTGCAGGGTCACCTTGGGGGCCAGTGATTTTCTCAGCCTAACCTCCCTTCAGGGCCGGATTGAGCTTTAATGAGGCCCGCAGCTCCTGAAGGTAACAGGGGCCCTTTCTATGTCCAGCTGTCCTTTGTCCACAACAAATTGTCACTGTTTTTTGTGTTGAATATATGCCATGTGGTAATTTATGCACCTAATAGGTATCTCAAGCCATTTGCATATAACAAATAGAAGCCTACACAACACAAAACACTGTTGCTGTATGTAGGTTTTATTTGTTTTTTTATCTTATATTTTGGAAATGTACATCCAGTTTTTTTTTCCTTTAAATTTTTTTGGGCCCCCCAAGAGAATGGGGCCCTAAGCTAGAGCTTGTTTAGCTTATACGTCAATCCGGCACTGCCTTCCTTACAGGGTTGTTGGGCGGATTAAATGAGGAGGGGGAGGACCATGTATAGGGCAGATCTACTCTGAAACGAATGAAGCTACAGGGCCCCAATCCTGGAGGGCCCTGAGAAGTGAATATAGTCCACATTGCTTAAAAGTTTTGGGTTTGGGAAACCCAATTTGAGTCACATTTTTTGTTGTATGTATTTCAACATTCCCAAAGTCGGAGAGTCGATAGCCCAGCTGTTGTGAAGGTGTCGTGATCTGTCAGGGAACCACCCCACGGAAGTCTTTATGGTTGTCAAGGGGGGCCCCATAACAGTTCAAGGTTCAGGGCCCCCAAAATGTAGGGGTCTGCTGCTGACACCGCCTTGTGCTCCTTTCAGGAAAAGGTGGAATGCAGTGATTAAATAAAAAAGTTTCCCCAAAACTCTTAATTATGTGACATACATTTGCTGGTGTGTGCTTGAATCTGCTTTGAAAATAGGATCTACTCCAAAGTATTGAATTGAATGGGGCATCCCCCAGGTGAGACCATGACTGTAGCAAAAGCCCATCTGGGACTCATTGGGGAAAAGCAGACCCGGCCTCTGGCACGCCTTCCTTCCTGGTTGCAGCAATGGCAGCCCAGGGACTGCAGAAGGTGTTGGGGTCCAGGCGGGCGGATCATATTGCACCGATTCTGCGTCAGTGGTGCTGGCTGCCCATTCCATCCTAAGCTCCTAAGTCAGGCAATGAGTTTATTGTTCTAAAAGGCCACGACAAACTTGGCTCCCCAAACCCTAAAGACCCCAAAAGCCCTGAACGGTTTGGGACCAGTTTATTTGAAGGGCCCCCCGCTCCATGCCCCTTATGCCCACAGGAGCCAGTCTCCAGCCCCATGGATCATCTGAGAGAAATCAGGTTCAGGGGTGCCAAGGGGATTCTGCAACACTGTACGTGGATTGGGCCCAAGGCATAGATTCGGCATGTCATAGGCAGATTTGCATCCTCTTTGGCAGGTGGAATGGAGGGTGCAAGAATAAATCCGTGGCTCAGCATTCCCTGCACTGACTGGCAGCATCTCTGCAGAGTTCTGGGCACTGCTACGCTTTCTTCTGTGTCGCCCAATTTATTGTCCTGCAAGCCGCCTTGGTGTTGCTTAGAAATGAAAGCTGGCCTGCCAGTGGTTTTACGACAAATAAATCCCACCGGGCAGCCGCAAATTCCTTGCTGCCGTGTGATTCAGGGGGGATGTGGGTGGGTCACAGCTTGGATGTCCAGCGCCTGCCAGGGCTCATTGCCGGGGGTTGGACTGGATGACTCAAGGGGACCCTTCCAGCTCTACAAGTCTGTGGTTCTGTGACCTGCTTTCCCTCCCCCTCAGCTTCTCCCAGGCTAGTGGCTAATCTGGCCTGTGGTGCATTTTCCCTTGAGCCCCGTGTCATGAAGATGTCTCCCCCTTTGCCGTTCCAGAGCTGGAATTTGCTCACTGCGCCCTGGCTGGCTCCCTGGGGGCTCCCCTTTCCTGGAGATCGGGGGGTCCCTGCAAGATGAAGAGGGTGCGCACCGTCTTCACGCCAGAGCAGCTGGACCGGCTGGAGAAAGAGTTCCTCAAGCAGCAGTACATGGTGGGCAACGAGAGAGTGGACCTGGCCGCCACCCTGCACCTCACAGAAACCCAGGTAGGCAGTGCCCCCACCCCAAACACACACAGCACGGCCAGGAGGAAGCTCAGCATCCTTCTCCTCTGGTCCTCTCTTAAGAAGGAGATTTAAACTGAAGGACATCCTCCTCTTTCTGCGCTCCTCCCAGTGGAGGTGGGGACAGGTGGATCCCTGCTTCAAGTCGTTTACATACTACCTTCTCTTGTATATTATTTACTACAAAGCTCAATGAGCAAGCACTTTAGTGTGGGAATGTTCAGGGTGGCAGGAGAATCTATATCTTCTATATCTATATATAGATTTAAAGGAGAATAATATTGTTAAAATGTATTGTGTTTAAGATATCTGGAAAAAAATAATAAAAATTATTGGAAAAAACAAGGTGGCAGGAGAGGATTTATTGTTTATTAATATCCTTCCTAGGGATGTGGGTGGTGCTGTGGGTTAAACCACAGAACCTAGGACTTGCCAATCAGAAGGTCGGCAGTTCAAATCCCCGCGACAGGGTGAGCTCCTGTTGCTCGGTCCCTGCTCCTGCCAACCTAGCAGTTCGAAAGCACCTCAGAGTGCAAGTAGAAAAAATGGCTACCGCTCCAGCAGGAAGGTAAACGGCGTTTCTGTGTGCTGCTCTGCTTTGCCAGAAGCGGCTCAGTCATGCTGGCCACATGACCCAGGGGGTTGAACTCGATGGCCCTTGTGGTCTATTCCAACTCTATGATTCTATGATTCTAAGCTGTACACTGGCTCCCTCAGCCAGTAAAGCGAGATGAGCACCGCAACCCCAGAGTCGGCCACGAGGGGACCTAATGGTCAGGAGTCCCTTTACCTTTAATATCCTTCCTAACTTGCACTAGCAAGTTCCCTTATTTAGCAGAGTTTACATTCCCCTTTACACAGCACATCAGATGGCTGGCTGCAGGCTCGTGTGAGCCTCTCACTATTATACAGTTCAGTCTCTCTTAGATTGAATTGTGCATTCCTAGTAAGTTCCCTTGAATCCCTCTTAAAAGAATAAAGACGCCCCAATCTTATTCAAAGTCAATAAAAGAAGTTTACAGTGGTGCCTCGCAAGATGAAATTAATCCATTCCGCGAGTCTCTTCGTCTTGCGGTTTTTTCGTCTTGCGAAGCACGGATATTAGCGGCTTAGCAGCTTAGCGGCTATTAATGGCTTAGCGGCTTTAAGAAAAAGGAAACAAACTCGCAAGAACTCGCAAGACGTTTCGTCTTGCGAAGCAAGCCCATAGGGAAATTCGTCCTGCGGAACGACTCAAAAAACGGAAAACCCTTTCGTCTAGCGAGTTTTTCGTCTAGCGAGGCATTCGTCTTGCGGGGCACCACTGTACTTACATCAGATCACAGCTGGATTCCTGAAGGCAGACTTAGTTACAGATATGTACATGTGGATCTACCCCATATGGGGGAATAATCCCTGTGCTGCTTCTAGCTGAGAAGCTAGCAGAGCAGTCCTAGCTGGTCAAATGTAGATGGAAGTCAAAAAGAGGGAGGTGTGCTGCGTGCCTTGTCCTTTTGTTACCTGGACAGGTGAGGTCATGCCCACCTTTAGTCACCTGCAAAGGAAGGATGCTCCAGCCAGGAGGAAGAGGAAGTTTTGACTGGCTGGACCAAACATTCCCTCGCATGTCTTCTCTAGCATCACAAGGAATGTTGTACTTGACTGCCTCTCATGGATCACATCCCACATTTAGCGACGAAACGTCAGATTACTGGAGCTCTGAATCACTGATATGTCACAAGTGGACTCTTTATTGCTGCCTTTGCAATTATTCAAGATAAAATCTATTTTGGAAAGAAGAAATGAGCACTGAACCATTGACATATTATTACAAGTGAACACTTTATTTTTTGTGTTTGCTGTTGTTCAAGATATAACCTATTTTGGAAAGTAATTTTGCCATTTTTATGGACGTTTAGTGTTTGTTTACAGATAGTTGCCTTGGTGATAGGATCTTGTGTCGACTGCAGCAGTCATTGTCTCACCAGCCTGCTCCTTGTTTTATTGTTAGACTCTCTTAAGAAGCGGCATCCTGTATCAAGGAGAGACCCAGGTGGTCAAGGCCCTGGAAGCCAGGCCTGATGAGGAACGGTTGAGGGAGTTAGAACCATCGACTCGTAGCAGAGTTGAAAGGGAGCCCAAATCAGACGGGCAGGGGGCATCCTTGCGCGCTGATGCTGTCAGGATCGGGACAGGATCAGTTCCTTGCTCCGGTTCTGAGAGATCTGCATTGGCTCCCTGTACGTTTCCGAGCACAATTCAAAGTATTGGTGCTGACCTTCAAAGCCCTAAACGGCCTCAGCCCAGTATACCTGAAGGAGCGTCTCCACCCCCATTGTTCTGCCCGGACACTGAGGTCCAGCTCCGAGGGCCTTCTGGCGGTTCCCTCACTACGAGAAGTGAAGTTACAGGGAACCAGGCAGAGGGCCTTTTCGGTAGTGGCACCTGCCCTGTGGAACGCCCTCCAATCAGATGTCAAGGAAATAAACAACTATCCTATCTTTAAAAGACATCTGAAGGCAGCCCTGTTTAGGGAAGTTTTTAAAGATTAATGCTGTATTGTTTTTAATACTTGATTGAATTATTATATATTGCTCGGCCTCCTTCCACTTTCTGCCCTTCTGCCTTGCAGGTGAAAGTCTGGTTCCAGAACAGGAGAATCAAATGGCGGAAGCAGAGCCTGGAGCAGAAGGCAGCCAAGCTCTCGCAGTTTGGGGGGCCGCAGCCCGGCCCCCGGGGGCTGCCAGACGAGGAGGACAGTGGCGAGAATGAGGAGGGGGACGTGGACATCGAAGTCTAGCGGTTGCTGCCCCAGCTGAGGACACCACTTTGCATCTGCCTCCTGGGGAGGCCAGGACTTGATGGCGCCCCCATGAACACCCCCAGAGCCTTGCCTGGTCCACCTGGGGGCTGGGGCTGGTGGTCTGGGCCTTTGGATGCCAGTCTTGGTCTCTTTGTGTGCACACTCATTGCCTGGCTCCATCGGGCGCCATTCAGCGAAGGGCTTCCGCTAGGACTTTGGGCTGTGCGGCAGAACTTTCTCTGTCTCTGTGCACCCCTAAATCTGTTCTGGGGATTCCCCAGACCCAGTGGATCAGAGCTGGGTGGGGGCAGCAGGGAGAAGAGAGGCAGGGGATTTTGCATTGCGCAGCCAGAAGTCCTTGCGCTAGTGGACTCTCTTGGCTGCATTCCACCCATTGCGTTCTGCTCTCTGCCTCTGCTTCTGGGCACTAATGTGGCGCCAGGGAGCTGGTCAGTAGGACACACTGGAGCAAGGAGGCTCTGTTGAACTAGCCAGCCCATATCCAGACTCAGGATTGTCTTCCATGAATCCATGAAATGATGTATACATTAATCCTGTGGCGGTGAGTTCCATAGGTCAGTTATACATTGCCAAATTGTAGATTTGGCCCTGGAGCTTAATGCAAACCTTGGTGAATGTTTGAAATCTGAATCTAATATCTCAAAGTTTAATTGTAGCCGTTAACATTACACCACGTCAAACCATTTTCCTTATGTAGCTCAGGTTTGTCAGCACTGACTGGCAGAACTTTCCAGGATTTGAGATGGGGAAGATTCACAGCTGTACCTGGAAAAGCCGGGAGTTGATCTTGTGACCTTTTCATCTAGCAGATGTTCTGCCACTGAGCCTCAACCCTAAACTGAGCCTCAACCCTTCCTTGCTAAGTTTGCCGCCGACTCCGCCGTTTCCTCGGACTGGTGATTCAGAGCCTCTTGGCAATCTCAGGGTATAACTGATTGTGCCTCTTCCTTTCTTAAAAAAGCAGGACATTGCAAAATGGCCGGTCGCGAATCGCGATATTTATTTATATAGCAGTAGCTGCACTTTTTAAAGTAGAAAAAGATATAATTTAATTTATTTCTTCCTCTTGTGTTTTTTGTGTTTGTGCCATCGATAAAATCTGGTTTTGTAGGAAAGCAGAAAAATAAAAACTTTATATGCAAATCCTGTTCTGTCCCAGAGGCAACTGTCCTGGGAGTCTGCTGCGCCAAGCAGCGCTCATGGCTACGATGCGCGGTAGCAATCCTGCGCACGCCAGCAGAAAGACTTGAGTTCCAGGTGCAAGACCTGACTGCCCATGTTGGTCAGGGCTCTTTCTCCCCTGTGGGCCAAAGTCAAAATTAGCATCGGTTTCTGTGCGACTTACGGGCTGCATCAAAGCCTTCAGAACATGTGAACATGAATGGAGGTTATATCTCTCACTAGACACATACCGGGACGCAGGTGGCACTGTGGGTTAAACCACAGAGCGTAGGACTTGCCGATCAGAAGGTCCACGGTTCGAATCACCGCGATGGGGTGAGCTCCTGTTGCTCGGTCCCTGCTCCTGCCAACCTAGCAGTTTGAAAGCACGTCAAGGTGCAAGTAGATAAATAGGTACCGCTCCAGCCGGAAGGTAAACAGTGTTTCCGTGTGCTGCTCTGGTTCACCAGAAGCGGCTTAGTCATGCTGGCCACATGACCCGGAAGCTGTACGCTGGCTCCCTCGGCCAGTAAAGCGAGATGAGCGCCACAACCCCAGAGTCGGCCACGACTGGACCTAATGGTCAGGGGTCCCTTTACCTTTAGACACATACCTGGGCATCCCACCTGGGACTGAACTGGGCACCAGGCAAAGCAGGTCTTCTGTGCCTGAGTTAATGGTCCCACCTGCCCACCTCCTCATTTTTTGCCTCCCTGTCTTCTCTGACTGATAGGAGCTCTCCAGGATCTCTTGGGAAAGAGAAGGGACCTTTCACATCTCTTGCTACTTCACCCCCTAACTGGAGCTGGTGGGGCTGGCACCTTGGGCAGTCATCGCACGACTTCTGCCTTTGGGCTTTGCCCCTCCAGGGTGCCCATGGGAGCCATTGTCCTAAGTCAGCCGCTGCCCCGTTGTGGTGTCAGGTGCTGCACGGACACGGAACAGCCATGTATCTGCTCCAGAGAACTTCCACTCGCTCTGGATCCTGGTGGGCAGGATTGCAGCTGGACCGTTGTTGATGAGAGGGCAAAGGGGTGACCCAGGATGCAGGCAGGCGGCATCCAGGTGGGGCCTCAAAAGCTGGGAAGCCAGGAGGCCACCTCTGCCTCCTGTCCACCTGCAGGTCAAAGAGCATCCCTGAGCACCTCAATGGACCGTGATAGTTTACCCCCTAGATCAGGCATAGGCAACCTCAGTCCTGCAGATGTTTTGGGACTGCAACTCCCATGATCCCTAGGTGACAAGTCCAGTGGTCAGGGATGATGGGAATTGTAGTCCCAAAATATCTGGAGGGCCAAGGTTGCCTATGCCTGCCCTAGACAAGGTTTCCCAAACTTGGGTCTCCAGCTGCTTTGGGACTACAATTCCCATCATCCCTGGCCACTGGTCTTGCTAGCTAGGGATGGTGGGTGTTGTAGTCCAAAAACAGCTGGAGACCAAGCATTTATGTGCCTCCTTCCCATCAGAAATCCCAAAAGTGGCTCTCATAAAATAAACGTTGGGCTTTTTTTTTTTAAAAAAAGAAAAAGTTAGCCCTTAGCAGTTTAAGTGCATCATCTGCTCAGGCGGCCTCTGCCCACTCCTGGCTGGTTTGCCAGCTGCAACTGGGATGACCTTGTGCCAGGAGTCTCTCCTCTGCACACCTCCCAGCTGCATTCCTGCAATGTGCTGCCCTGTGGGGGCCTTTCTTCACAGTCTGGTCTGCTTCTCACCCTGTAGGTAAGCACAGGATTGTTCCTGATTTCAGTTACCCACCTCATGGATGGTGTTCTCTTCCCCCCTCCCCCCGTTTTCACAAAATCATGAGGGCAGTTAAGAGAGGTGGCATTAATTCCCTGCCCTCTGCTCTTTAACATACCCAAATACTTTCTTGCATAGCTGTCAACGTTTCCCTTTTTTAAAGGGAAATTCCCTTATTCCAAATAGGATTCCCCGCAAGAAAAGGGTAGAGTTGACAGCTATGCTTTCTTGTGGGTAAAGTATAGCCAGCTGTCTTTAAAAGTGAAATTGCAATCCTCTGGGCTCGGATCGCCCTTTCCTGGGAAAGAGAAGGCATGTTTCTGTTCCACAATGGCACCAGCAGAGGGCTCTCTTTACCTGCGAATGAATCCCAGATGTGCAAGTGGCCTTTGCAGCTGGAAAGCGTCTCCCACAAGCTTCCACAGGGACAGATGCCATGATCCTGGAATAGGGGGAAAACACGTAGCCGGAAATGTGTTTGACACTCGGGGGGGGGGGTTTCTAACCACCCACAATATCTCAAGGCCTGCCTCTCCCCATATGACTTACCCTGACCCTGAGATCATCTGAGGCCCTTCTTCATGTGCTGCCTCCTTGAGAGGTCCGGAGGGTGGCAACACGAGAACAGGGCCTTCTCTACAGTGGCTCCCTGTCTGTGGAATGCTCTCCCCAGGGAAGTTCACCTGGCACGTACATTATACATTAGGCGCCAGGCAAAAATATTCTTTTTTAACCAGGCCTTTGGCTGATTTGATTGACATCCTATGCCTTTTTAAAATGTGGGGTTTTTTGGGGGAATAATAATAATAATAATAATAATAATAATAATAATAATAATAATAAATTTTATTATTTATACCCCGTCCATCTGGCTGGGTTTCCCCAGCCACTCTGGGTAGCTCCCAACATATCTAAAAACATCACAAAAACATCAAGCATTAAAACTTCCCGATACAGGGCTGCCTTCAGATGTCTTCTGAAAGGCAGATAGTCATTTATTTCCTTGACATATGATTTGGGGGGGGGGCGTTCCACAGTGAGGTTATTGGGTTGTCGTTTTTATTTTGATTATGGCTTTTGTGGTTTTATATTCTGATTTTATTCTGTGAAGCGCCCCAAGTCCTCCGGGTATAGGGAGGTATAATAATAATAATAATAATAAATAATAATAATAATAAATAATTTTATTTATATCCCGCCCTCCCCAGCCGAAGCCGGGCTCAGGGCGGCTAACAACAATCAAATAATCAAACAATCAAATAATCCAACATTCTAAAAACATTTCATTATAAAAATTAATTAAAATCAAATTAATTAAAATCAAATTAATAATAACATAATTAATAATAAACTGCATAGGCTAATTCAGAATGTTTGCTACACACATGAAAGCAGGCCTCCCCCAATCTGGTGACCTTCAGATGTTTCGGATGACAATTATCACATTCCCTGGACAGCGCAGCCATATGACTCTGGGGCTGATGGGAGTTGTAGTTCATAGTATCCCGAGGGCGCCTGGTTGAGGTTGGCGCGATTCAAGGGACATGGTGCCAAGTGGGAGGAGACGAGGGCTGGGCTTCCCGGGGGGGGGGCTGGGGGGGTTGGAGGCTCCTGCCCTCTAAGCCACATGCAAAAGGTTGAAGCTTTTGGGTCTTTTTAGTTTGCAGAAAAGGCGAGGCAGAGGCAACGTGACCGAGGTTTATAAAGTGGTGCGTGGCCAGAGAGAAGTTTTCATCCCTCTCTCATAACATTAAAAGCCATGAACATCCAGAAGGAGCGTCGACAAAAGATGATGGGATGCAAAAACTCATGGACTGTGCAGAAATGGCGGAACTTACTGGGAAAATAAGAAATCAAGACAACAAACTTTTTATTTAAAAAATGGAAATGGTTTATTGAATACAGGATGTACCAATAAATTGTAAACGGACATTGGCAGGATCATTGTAACAATCTGCAGCTTCAGAAGAGTAAAGAATCAAAACAGATGAATAAAGGAATAGGTTGATTTAGAATATGCAGGAAATGATAAATATAAATGGAACTGCAGAAAGAGGAGGAAGGAAGTTGAGGTTTGAAATGTTAAAATGACAGTAAAACTATCGAAATATATATACAGTGGTACCTCGGGTTAAGAACTTAATTCGTTCTGGAGGTCCGTTCTTAACCTGAAACTGTTCTTAACCTGAAGCACCACTTTAGCTAATGGGGCCTCCCGCTGCCGCTGCGCAGCCAGAGCACGATTTCTGTTCTCATCCTGAAGCAAAGTTCTTAACCCAAGGTACTATTCCTGGGTTAGCGGAGTCTGTAACCTGAAGTGTATGTAACCCGAGGTACCACTGTAACTGAAAATATTAGAAGAAGAAGAAGTCATGAACATCGAATAAAGCGGAATGTTGGAAAATCCAGGGCAGAGTTAGCCTGTGGAACTCCCTCCCACCTGGGTGGCTTGGAAAGAGGACCGGACAAAGCCCTGGCGGAGGAGAGGGCCAGGGATGGCTACCAGCTGGGATGGCTGTGCTCTGCGGCTGGAGGGAGCAAGGCTTCTGAACACCAGTTGCTGGAGAGGCAGCTCTTGGGCTTGGGGACGTCCCCTTGGAGTAGCTGCTGATTTTATCATGAATTGATTTTAGAATGCTGTATTATTTTAGTGTTGTTAGCCGCTCTGAGCCCAGCTTCGGCTGGGGAGGGCGGGATATAAATAAAATATTATTATTATTATTATTGGCCCCTGTGAGAACAGGATCCTGGACTAGGTGGGCCATGGGCCTGATTCTGCAGGGTTCTTCTTACTTTCCTGTAGGGCCACCTGTCCTGGATGCTGGATGAGATTCCTGCATTGCAGGGGGTTGGACTCTATGACCCTGGGGATTCCTTCCAGTTGTATGATTGGCAGGCAGAGGGTCTTCTCGGTGGTGGCACCTGCCCTGTGGAACTCCCTCCCACCAGATGGCAAAGAGAAGAAGAACTACCAGACTTTTAGAAGACATCTGAAGGCAGCCCTCTTTAGGGAAGTTTTGAATGTTTAATAGACTATTGTATTTTAATGCTTTGTTGGAAGCCTCCCAGCCACATGGGCGGTGTATAAATAATAAATTATTATAAATTATTATTATAAATTATTATTATTATTATTATTATTATTATTATTATTATTATTATTCTGTGGTCCTCTTTGCACTCAAAGCTCTCCAGTCTTGTCATTGCTTTCAACGAGTTCGCTTCGCCCAGGCCTGGAAGGGGGTATGGGGGGGTCTCACCTTTGTCCTCACGAGCCCCCCTGCCCCTAACCAGGGCTCTTGGGCCTCCCCTCCCTTTCGTGCCCTTTCCACGGCTCCCGGGACACCAGCTGGGCCGGCCGGACACGGAGGGGGCGCCTGGTCCATCTGTCCGGTCTGGAAAGTCATTGCCAAACGTGGAGACGCCCTCGGAATCGAGAGCTGGGGATTTCCAGGCTTATT